ATCTTTGACTATTCTGAGGGCAGTAGTCCCAATGTAAATAGTGTAAATAATGATAGCACCTCATCGCAGACATTCAGACAGATATTGAATCGGTATAGACCCGATGTGATACACCGATGGACGCGATCCCGGCAAAATAATGCTCCATCAAATATCACTATGGATATCAAATCATCAGACATTTCTGTTCAGCTGTCAAGACCTAAAGCTAGTTTCACCGGGTTTAACAATCAAGATATCAGTTAGTCCCAGGAGAGTACAAAGGGTAATGGAAATAGCAGGACACACCCTCGTGTGGGAAAGGATTCGCTGGAGGAAACATCAGCTGGGACATGATATATCAAAACAACAAAGATGAGAAGAACAGCCGAAATGTAAATAGCAAAAATGAAATAAATAAAATAAGAAAAGATTAAATTTCTTTTAATCTCATTTCTCGAGAAATAATTTCAATAAAGTTAAATTTTAGGGGCCGTCCTGAACACAGTTCGTTTTCAAGGGATCGTCTTCCCTGATGGCATTCAGCAGTCCAATGCTAGTCTGTTACATTCGAAAGGCAATCCTGATGCAAGACATTTTTGCATGCAACTTTAGACTTCCCGCGCTGCATTCGAATTTCAGATTGAAAAAAAAAATAATAACATTTAAAAATCTGTTTCTGAGTCCGATATTTATGCGAATGGGACGTTCCTGCGTAGCGCATTTGGTGTCACTGATTCGACATTTTTAGGCAGAGAGAATATTAGGCGTCAGATTACTACTTAGCTGTTGTCAAATTTGAAATAATTTCTAAGCTTAAATAGCTTTAGTAAGTTTTAAATTTTTTTTTAAATAGAATATTTTAAATTTAAGTTTTTAATTTACATTATTCCATTAGTGTTTCAATAGGATCCTTAATTCCCTAAATGAATAAAAAGTCATACTGAAAGTTGGGTGTTTTCAATACTTTATCCATTTTTTTTTTGGGGGGGGGTCCGTTCAAAGACAGTGGCGTCGAAACAGTCTGACGTTAAATCAGCGACGCCAAATGGGCTACGACGAAGCGGTACAAAAGCTTATATTTATTGATCATCTTTAAAATATTTAATTTTTTTCTTAAATTGCTTCTAAATTGCAAACCATGTGAAAATATCAAGACGAATGTAAATATCTATATTTCTGAGATGAGGTATTATGTACACTATTTTCATTATTCGGACTATTATCCTCATCTTTGTCGCTATATTTATTACAACGTTTCAGCGCTCCAGTATCTGTCTATATTTCTGAGATGAGGTATTATGTACACTATTTACATAATTCGGTCTATTGTCCTCATCCTTGTTGCTATATTTATTACAACGTTTCGGCCGTTGTACGCTCAGGCCTTCTTCAGATGGTTTGAATGTCGGACTGAACCGTCAAGGACACATGGCATAGTGGATAAAGGCGTTAGTTAGATCCAGTGACAGGCCCCAAAGAGTGTAAGTTCAATACCCGGTTAAGGCAGTGGAGAACTTGGAGAGGGGATTTAACAGGAGATAACTGATAACTGACATCCATTAAACATGACACGCAGAACTAGAACAGTCTACCACAGCGAGCGAAATAAAGGGTTCGGTTCGACATTCCAACCACCTGAAAAAGGCCGGAGTGCACAACGGCTGAAACGTTGTAATAAATATGCCGACAAGGATGAGGACAATAGTCCGAATAATGTAAATAGTGTAATAATTTCATAGTCTGGATTTTTATTATGGAATCATAGTACATAGCATTACAAGTTTCATTCAAATTCCAGATCACTGTTTATCTTTAATTTCATTTCTTGGAATATTTAAGAATCTCGGTCTTTATGATATATAACGTTATGGCAATTCATTATTTTGTCCATAGATATTCGTAAAAATGGCGGTAGGGTTTATCTTATTTTTTTTTTTGGTGGGGGGGAATATGACATTGTTTACATGGTTATCAAATCTGAAACTGCAGTACCATTGTCGCCGATGAGAATTATTTCATTTCAGTAATACAGTATGTGTTAATTTTTTTTAATGAGTAAAGTGCTGACCCGTCACCAGGAGTATACAGGTCCGCCTATCGTCTGTTTCAAACTCTTCCCCAGTCCTTTGGAGGTGTATCGCTTTTTATCTGTTTTGGATTGGGTTTCCGGTTCCTTCTAAAGGCGTTTCATTCTCTTTCACTCCCAGTAGTCCCAGTAGAGTTCAATACCTGGTTAAGGCGGGGGAGAACTTGGAGAGGGAAAATTAACAGGAGATAGCTGATAACTGACATCAATTAGACATGACATGTGGAACTAGAACAGTCTACCCCAGTGAGCGAAATAAAGGGTTCAGTTCGACATTCCAACCACCCGAAGAAGGCCGGAGCGTACAACAGCTGAAACGTTGTAATAAATATGGCGATAAAGATGAGGACAATAGTTCGAATAATGTAAATAGTGTACCAATGTAATAGTTTAAATTTTGAGAATAAAAATACACTATAATAAGGCAATCAAATAAAGTCTTCATTTTAAACCAACTGCAAAAGCGGTCGTATTTATGCTCGAAATCTCTGGATCATACTTGTGTAGAAATGTTGATATTATACCTATTAATAATACTTTTCCTCAGGTGGTATATACACGAGGTAAACAATTGAATACTCAATGTCGGGGTCAAATATATATTCCTTTTAGCATTTAAATTATCTGTGAGGGGCAGATGTACACAATTTTAAACGAAGATATTAAAGTATATATATCTTAAAAGTATATATAAATATATGTACTATTAAACACAGATTTTTCTCTGAGTCTCGAAATTGACATATCTACCCAGTTTCGTATCCTAACGTAAACAAAGCAATTTCTAATGAAAGGGATGGATGTTTTTTGTTTTGTTTATTAATCCGACAGATGTTTATTACTTAAACAATATTTTTAGTGAATACTTGTATTTGAGTAGACACTCCGTTTATTTATTAAGCAGTATTTTTGTTTATTTTCGTCTACCGGCCTGAATGTTCAAGAAATCAAATGAAAAGAAAAAATTGCGCTATCCGGCAGTAATCGAACCTGCTTCCCTTGGGGTAGATAGATCTAACGTTTAGCCCGATACGCCTTGCCGACTGGCCACGGAGAACTGTCTAGAAGGTGAGGTCAAATTTTGTACAGTTTCGAGAACAATAGAAATTTAGAATGCAATTTTTTTTAATTCGACAAATTTTTATCACTGTGAAGGTTCTTTTTAGCAGATAATCGTATTTGAGTTGACGCTCCGTTTATTTATTAAATAGTACATATAAAAAAAATATATATAAAAGAAAGGAGGAAGAAGAGCAAGAATAAACAAAGCATTACTCGCTGTAAAATGGTGGTTCGAAAAATATCATAACAAAAAAAAGAAACGAATTAATAAATGAGTGGGAAACTATTTTTAATAACGGATTTTCACAAACTCCTTAATTAATACCAGATTTTTCGAATCGGATTTTTAATTTTTTAATTCATTCCGGATTCTTTGCTACCGATTAATAAGTTAATATCATCCCCTGCCTGAAGTCTTCAAGTTAATATCATCCCTTGCCTGAGGTCTTCAAGTTAATATCATCCCCTACCTGAAGTCCAAGTTAATATCATCCCATGCCTGAAGTCTTCCAGTTAATATCATACCCTGCCTGAAGTCCAAGTTAATATCATCCCCTGCCTGAGGTCTTCAAGTTAATATCATCCCCTGCCTGAAGTCTTCAAGTTAATATCATCCCTGCCTGAAGTCTTCAAGTTAATATCATCCCCCTGAAGTCTTTAGGGTTAATATCCTGAGGTCTTCAAGTTAATATCATCCCCTGCCTGAAGTCTTCAAGTTAATATCATCCCCTACCTGAAGTCTTCAAGTTAATATCATCCCCTACCTGAAGTCTTCAAGTTATTATCATCCCCTACCTGAAGTCTTCAAGTTATTATCATCTCCCCTACCTGAAGTCTTCAAGTTATTATCATCCCTGAAGCCTACCTGAAGTCTTAAAGTTAATATCATACCCTGCCTGAAGTCTTCAAGTTATTATCATCCCCTACCTGAAGTCTTTAAGTCATAATATCATCCCCCCTGCCTGAAGTCTTCAAGTTAATATCATCCCTGCCTGAAGTCTTCCAGTTAATATCATCCCCTTCTTCAATTAATATCATCCCCTACCTGAAGTCTTCAAATTATTATCATCCCCTGCCTGAAGTCTTCCAGTTAATATCATCCCCTGCCTGAAGTCTTCAAGTTAATATCATCCCCTGCCTGAGGTCTTCCAAGTTAATATCATCCCCTGCCTGAAGTCTTCCCCCCTACCTGAAGTCTTCCCCTCAGTTAATATCATCCCCTGCCTGAGGTCTTCCAGTTAATATCATCCCCTGCCTGAGGTCTTCCAGTTAATATCATCCCCTGCCTGAGGTCTTCCAGTTAATATCATCCCCTGCCTGAAGTCTTCCAGTTAATATCATCCCCTGCCTGAAGTCTTCAAGTTAATATCATCCCCTGCCTGAAGTCTTTAAGTTAATATCATCCCCTACCTGAAGTCTTCAAGTTAATATCATCCCCTACCTGAAGTCTTCAAGTTATTATCATCTCCTACCTGAAGTCTTCAAGTTATTATCATCTCCTACCTGAAGTCCAAGTTAATATCATCCCCTACCTGAAGTCTTCAAGTTAATATCATACCCTGCCTGAAGTCTTCAAGTTATTATCATCCCCTACCTGAAGTCTTCAAGTTAATATCATCCCCTGCCTGAAGTCTTCAAGTTAATATCATCCCCTGCCTGAAGTCTTCCAGTTAATATCATCCCCTACCTGAAGTCTTCAAATTATTATCATTTCCTACCTGAAGTCCAAATTATTATCATCCCCTGCCTGAAGTCTTCAAGTTAATATCATCCCCTGCCTGAGGTCTTCCAGTTAATATCATCCCCTGCCTGAGGTCTTCCAGTTAATATCATCCCCTGCCTGAGGTCTTCCAGTTAATATCATCCCCGGTCATAAAGTCTTCACCATTTCATTTTGGGAATATCCAGAATATGTAGAGAGATAAATCCGGACTCTGACAAGAAGGGTAACATACACGAATGACGAAACCGGAAGAATGGCCAAGCTCAGTCCAGACTGAATAACACATGAGAGTATCCATTAATGCATGCAGTGGGAGGTCTTTTTGATTGATTGTCTACGCCACGAAACCGGCTCTCAGGATATTAAAAATATACGTGTCTTGTTTTCCAGTTTCCTCGTAGACTATGCTTCGACGTTCTATTACTAAATGCAACGCTGTGTCATTTTTGTTGAGCTGGCTGTTATGTTGTTCGGTTAGAAACAATGTTGTGTTATTTTGTTTTTTGGTGGACTAACACAAGTGAAACAGTTCGGTATTATTTTTATCAATTCTCTTGTTCGAAAGTTTAAAAAAAAAACATGCATCTTCTGAATCTTCGTTTTTTTTCTTCTTTGGCATACATCATGCCGATGCCGAGGCCGGAAAAAGTGTCAGAATAATGAAATAAGGAGCAAAACTGTATTTATTCTGTATCTTTTGTTTGTGAGGGCGGCAGTTGTTATGAAGAAAAAAACAAGATAATTTATTTTAAAACTGACTGAAAAACAGAAAGAAAATAAAAAAAAAGGAAGCGAGAATTTAAAAAAGGAAGAGAAGTCGCGAAACAAAGAAAACTAAAATATTAAAAAGAAAAAAAAAAGAGAAAGAATATCAGAAGTAAAAGGAGAAAGGAAAGCGAGTGAAACTAAGAAAAGAAAGAAGAAATAAAAAAGAAAGAAAAGACAATAATGGAGAAAAATGAGGAGAAAGGAAATTCAGTAGAGAAAGATATAGAAGTAGAAAGAAAAGAAGAAAAAGGAAAGGAAAAAAGATAAGAAGGAAAGGCTAAATAGAGGATGGAAATAAAAATGAAAAAGAAAGAAAAGAAGCATAAAGAAAAGAAAAGGAAGAAAAGAAAAAGAAAAATGAAGAAAAAGAAAGGCAAAAAGTACAATTAAAGGAGAAAGAGAAGGAAAAAAAGAGAAAACATAAAATAAAAGCATAAATAGAAGAAGAGAAAGGAGAACAAGAAAAGGAGTAATATTTAAATGGAAAGGGGAAAAGAAGGAGAAAATTAGAAGAAGGAAAGGACAAAAGGAATTAGGCAAAGAAAGAAGGAAATAAAAAATGAGTAGAAGGAAAGGTTGAAAGGAATGAAGAAAAAGAAAAAAGGAAAGAAAAAAGAAAAAAATCAGTACAAGGAAAGAATGAAAGGAATTAGGAAAAGAAAGAAAGGAAAATGTGAAGAAGAAAAGGACAAAAAGAATTAGGGAAAAAGAAAGAAAGAAAGAAAGAAAGAAAGAAAGAAAGAAAGAAAGAAAGAAAGAAAGAAAGAAACAGCGAAGGGAAAGGATAAAAGTAATTAGGAAATGAAAGAAAGAATGAAAGAATAATGAGAAGAAGTAAAGGACAAAAGAAATTGGGAAAAGAAAGAAAGAAAGAAAGAAAGAAAGAAAGAAAGAAAGAAAGAAAGAATGAAAAGAACGAAAGGATAGAAGGAATTGGGAAAAGTAAGAAAAAACGATTGGGTAGAAGGGAAGGATAAAAGAAATTTGAAAAGGAAAGAAAGAATAAGAAGAAAGAAAGAATAAAATGAATTCAGAAAAGAAAGAAAGAAAAATAGAAAAAATGGCAAAGAGGAGAAAGAAGCGGAGACAGTACATAGGAAATTGGGAAAGAAAGGAAAGAAATAAAACTAAAATCGACAAGGAGAAAACATGAGAACCAAGTGAAAGAAAAAGAAGAAATAAAGAAAACGAAGAATAATGTAAAGAATGAAGAAGTGAAGAAGAGAAAAAGACCAAAAAGAAAAAAAAAACGAATAAGAAATGAAGTGTCAGGAGACAAAAAAAAACTAAAAGGAGAAAAAATACATAAGTAAATTGGACACGGGTGGAAAAGCATATTGGAACAAAAAGAAGACATTCAAAAAAAAAGAAAACGTAAAAACAAAAAAACATAAAGAGATAACGGAAACGATTTTCAAAGAAAGATGAATTCTCAAAAGATATATAAATTCCCGTTCACATTCCTCCCTTGGTCTTTTAAACAGAAGTAAAGGTTCATCCCTTGTTTCCTTTTTAGGAATGGGTTTTCGTTCCCTTTTAAAGTCTACTTCAACTCTATCCTTCTATCGTCTGCGCTTGCAATCTGACATTTTATTCATTAATTAAATCTTGACCTCTTCAAGACTAGAATTAGCTGTCTATATTTCCTGTTATATTGTCCTTTCTTACGCTAATCCAACTCCACACAGTAAATCTCTAGCTTGAGTGGTCCTTAGACCTTGTATTGGGCGTGACATTATTAAAAAGATAATATATTCGTAAAAACCACTTGTTTTTGTTAATAAATTGTCTTATAATTTAAAACACAATATATATTAATCGGTCACGCAACCTGGTGCCCTCTAGTTGCTAATCTGACTTTCCATCATTAGAGTAACAGAAGTTACTCTAATGATGGAAAGTAATACTCGACGTAAATAAGTAATCATCTCGTGTAACAACGGACTATATATTTAGTGGAGGAAATCAGAAAACTAACACATTACTTGTTTTCTTTCGTTTTTTGCTGAATATATTTTGAAAAATTGTTGGTCATTTAGAAAACAGAATTCTATTTCCATGAAACAATAAAGTTAATTGTATTGATAAAAATACTTGACTACTCATGCCGAAAATATATCTAACACAATTATAGAATTATTTAAATATAATCGTTATTTTATTTTTTAAGGTTCCGGTTAAATTGGTTTTATTTATACTCGTATTTGTTTATTTTTGTAGAACTATGGACTCTCGCATAACGAATAACAGACCACAAACCAAAGCCCACGTGCTCATCCCTCATCGATTGATTCCTGTTATCCAGGATACGAAAGAAAGGAGCCAAAAGCGAACTGAGGAACATAACGATGAAAGAAATGACGAAGTGAATATCTGAGGAGTGACGATTGATACATAATATTTCACCCATTTCAGAAATAAATGCTACGTCATTGTGAATGACTGTTGAACAAGTGACAAGAGACATGAGACCAAAGCGAAAACTATCCGTATTGTAGACTTGACACTAATTTTTCTTCCTCAGGTCGTAGGCGGATATGGTTCTCCACAACTTCCTGTTCTTTGTAACTCTTAATAAATGTAGTCTTTCTGTCAGTTCGACTAAACACTGTTCTGTCATCCGTTGACTCAAGCTCACTAAGTATATTATGTTTGTTTTCGTCTGTTTCACTTGCCTATAATCTATCCTGTAAGTTTCAGATTTTACAAGCCCTCTTTCTACATTATGTACTCTAGAACTTTCATCTGTCTCATCCTGATGTTAAGTATAAGTTTCCATTTATTTCCATTTATAAGTTTTCCATTTTGTTTTCATTTGCTCTAAAATCTCGTCAATCCATGGTATTATCAACATCCTTCTGGAAAAAGACATTTCTGCTGTTTCAAATCACTGCTTCATTTTTGTGGAGACTGTCCAGCATTCACTGCCATATAAGAGGACAGATATCGCGTAACAGTTCAGTACCATTTTCTTTGTTTCTGTTGTTTCAAGTCTCTTCTTCATCTTTGAGGACATAGTCAAGCATTCACTGCCATATAGAAGGACAGATATCACGTAACAGTTCAGTAGTATTTTCTTTGTTTCTGTTGTTTCAAGTCTCTTCTTCATCTTTGTAGAGATTGTAGAGCATTCACTGCCATATAGGAGGACAGATATCACGTAACAGTTCAATAGACTTTTCTTTGTCTCTGTTGTTTCAGGTCTCTTGTATATCTTTGAGGACATTGTCCAGCATTCACTGTTATATAGGAGGACAGATATCATGTAACAGTTCAGTTCTCTTTTCTTTGTGGGGATTGTCTAGCAAGCACCGGCATATTGGAGAACATATATCACGTAAAAGTTCAGTAGCCTTTTCTTTGTTCCTAACGAACTTTTTCTATTTCTTAATACACTGCTTAGCTTTTAGAATGCATCTTTGGTTATCCCAATGCGTCTTCGGATTGCAGTGTCACACTTTCCGTCTTCAGTTAGAACATTTCCCAGGTATTTAAATTTTTATACTTGTTTGATTTTGTTGTCCTCCATATCTAATTTGTAATCTATATACCTTAGTTTCCGATAATCTATTATACCTTCATTTCTCATGTTCAATACATTTTTATAGTAAAATGTTTGCCCATAGGTTCAAGTATAAAATCCACCAATGATTCAAGTATAAACCCGACTAATATTTAGCCTCTCTTTTCTATAAATATTTTCATGACAATTTTTTTAAGTGAGAATTTTGTTTGAATTTACGAGAAGATATAAATTCACGAAATTGTCTTGTTATATGTATTTATCTCTTAAAATGAAATGGACTCCAATTACTAGAGTAAAAATGTCCTAGTAGCTTTCCACAGAATTTAAGATTCTGATTATTACTCTGCTTAGGATCTAACATATATATATATATATATATATATATATATATATCGATAAATACTGTTTTGCTGTATCACAGCTCATCATATATACGTCCGGTTCCTCTAGCTAAGATCGAAACCTGCCACAGTCGGAGAATTTACCCCTTTGGCGGCGCGGGGAATATGTTTATATTCATTTTTTAGATAAAAAACAACTTTTAAAATTGTTTAGTAGCAAATTAAAATATATATATATATATATATTATATATATAATGATAAGCCATTTATTTATATTATATATAGAAAAACAACTAAAATGTTGCAAATTAAAAAATAATAATGTTTTTTATGAAAGTATTTATTTATATTTGATATTTCAGATCGGCCTCGATCTTTCTTTAGAAATAAATATATATATATGTATATAAACGTATGTTTGTGTTTATGGAATCTGTATTGGAAATTTTATTCTGATTGTTAAATTAAAAACCTTTAGCGTCGTAGAATTTCGAAGCTTATTTCGTATTTTATTCATTTTTTTATTTTCTGTATTATTCCAGGAGTTTTTTGAAAGGAAATCATTTTATGTAGATAAGATGAAGTAAAACAGAAAACGAATATATAATATGAAAGTAAACAACTGTTAATGAGAAATAATTACTACATGCTAATGAGATGTCATACAAGTAAATAGAATGAAATTTAAGAAAAAAACAACTAAAATACTCACAGCAGACATTTTATATTAGAGTAACATATGAGTTTTGCGTGATTTGAAAGTCGAAAAATATGTAAACAACAAAATGGCGCCCGTTCGACTGTTGTCTGCTCGGCGCCATGTTGTGAATTGCGAACCTGACGATTATTTGCTGACAGACACAAGGGAATGAGAAAGGAAATGCGGCCAAAGAAAGCAGGGTAGATTAATAGAGTGTCTGGTGTTTGATGAAAAGAAAAAATACAGGGGAACAAGGTAATATAAATTTGTAAGGAGTTAAGAACAAGAAGACGGCGTAGGGAGATGGAGACAGACGAGAAAGGAAAAGAAAGGCAAGAATGAGAGGATGAGAAAGAAAATTGAAGAAAAAAGAATCAGAATAGTAAGATGCTTATAGGAAAAGAAAAAAAAAATAGGGAAGCAGAAAGAAAAGTGAGGTGTGGAGGAAGACAGAAGAATAAAAAGAGATCGATCATTAGCGAGGTTAAAAAATATGTTTATGGTGAAGGGAAAGCGATGTTTGAAAATCATTTCACCCCAAATAAGACAATAAAGCCAGTAAGACGCAAGGAGCTACTGAGTGTCAGAGAATATAAGAAAAATATACTATTAATGAGAGCGCCGACAATAAAAGAGCAAAAATTAAGAAGAATTTTGAAGATCGAACTTGACTGGGAAGCAAGAAGCTGGAAGAGAGCTCCACAGGCGAGAAGATCAACGTAAGAAACTGTCAGCATAGAACTAACGGTTACATTTAGACATTTCAACTGTAAAGTGATTAGACGTTGCCCCAAATCTAATACTGCGCTTAAATTCATAAAGTCTACGTACCACAAATGAAAGGTCCTCCGAACAATTAACATGAAAGTTTTTTTTTTATAGAAAAGGCACAAAAAAGCTACATTACGGCGACAGGAGATTGATGGCGATTGGAAAGTGAAAAATGAGATGAGCGGGAATAAAGGAAGGGGAATTGTAGTTGGAAAAAGAAACAAAGAGAAAAATAGAGAGAAAGAGAGTGGAAGGTAAAGAAAAGAGAGTGGGGAGGAAGATAGAAGAAGAAAGAGATCGATTATCAGCGAAGTAAAGGTAAAGTGTGTTAAATGAAGGCAAGACGACTTTAAAAAAAGAGTAAATTGGAGCAAGAATGAAAGAAAAGCAGTTGGTATATATATATATATATATATATATATATATATATATTTTGAACAATAAAAAATATTAAAAAATTAATATATATATATATATATATATATATATATATATATATATATATAAAAGGCTCAAACGCTAATATTACATGGTTATAATTTATTATATTGGAATCGCAATCACGATCCAATTCAACAGACCTACAAATTCAAAATTCTTACTCTGTCCTCGACATTGGGTTCGACTGGATTCTATCCTCTTGGGAATTTATATATATATATATATATATATATATATATATATATGTATGTGTGTGTGTGTGTGCGCGTGTGTGTGTGTATTGACCACTAATATTATCTATATCAATATATATATAGAGAGAGAGAGTCAAGGTAATAAATCCGTTATGCATATATAAATATATAATGGGTTTATATATATATATATATATATATATATATATATATATATATATACTCTCTCTTCGAATTCGACGTATGAGGGTCAAAACAGATCAATCTAGAAAACAGATAACCCGAAACCAGCATATGAGATTTGATTGTAGTGGTGAACATCGTGTGCAGAATCCTCCACACTTTTTGAAGGGCCGAATACAGAGACTTGGTGCACTACGTCCCACCGACCCACCGCAGATTTTGAATTCAGAGTTGTCCTTCTCCTAGACCAGTTGCCATCCAAGGCTATAGAACCCAGTCTATCCTGCTATTTAGCCATAGCTGGAGGGAGAGGAAGAGGATTCATACCTTTCCCAAGAGTATTAGCACTTAAGTGAATGTAATGGATTCGACTGAATTCGAACTCGGCTTTCTGATTCCTCAATCCAAGCCGCTATCCATTGTGCCTCCTATATATATATATATATATATATATATATATATATATATATATATATATATATATATATATATATATATCTACAGACAGACTGTTCCGCTGTATTACAGTTCGTCAGTGTGGCTAGACATCAGATTGCCTCAAACCAGAATCAAACCCGACTGATTTGGCATTTTCTAAGGTATCACCTCCCGACAGAGGTAGGTGAATTTTTTTACGTATTTATTTTTTTCCAGTGACTCAGACTGCTCGATTCATAGAAGAGTTTTTGCATTATCAGCAGTAGAAGTCACTGTTTACAAACTCATGGTTTCTTTCTAAGGTTCTCGGCCGAATTTTATTTTTTCGGGGGCGTATATATTGTCAGCCACAGACAGATTGTTACACGTTATCCCAGCTCATCAGCGTGGCTAGACATCCGATTGCCTCAAGCAATGGATCCAAACCCGACTGATTTGGCATCAGTCGGAGATGCTTTTTGTAAGCTATCAGCCTCCGGCATATTTAGTAAAGATAATAAATCCGTTGGTATATAATCCAAGTGGGTCCTAATAATATATATATATATATATATATATATATATATATATATATATATATATATATATATATATTACTAGTATCCACTTTGATTATATAACAACAGATATCTCTATATATATATATATATATATATATATATATATATATATATATATATATATATCAGTTCTGATCTTCCCCAGTTTTTAGAACAGAAGTAGAAGGTTTCTTTATCGTTTCCTTTTTTTCATATTGATTATATATATATATATATATATATATATATATATATATATATATATATATATATATATATATATATATATATTATATAACAACTAGTATCCGAATATATATATATATATATAT